TATTTTACACAGTATTTTTTATTTCCTAAAAACCTTTCACATGATTTTTCAAAACACCCCTAATTTTAAGGGTATTTTTGTAAGTACCCCTTCAAACTAAACCGATTTCAGCCCATAATCGAACAAATCCAAATGACTATCATCGGGCTGGCACATTTTGGGTTATTCGGTTTGAACTTGGGCCCAATCCAAACCTCTGGCAAAATTTCTACTTTAATTGCCAAACTCCAAAAAATCACCTCCCCTTATAGTTGTACTACAACATCAAGTGTAAAGTTTACGAAATCAATACTTAGAAAAACTCGATTTCTACAACACACGCTTCATTCAAACTATGAATAGGCTTAATCAACAAAATCTGTGCCTTTATCCCCTTGCATGATTCATTAAGATCCATTAAAAATTTCATTACCCAATCCTTTGTGTTGATTTTGAAATACTACTTTGAAACCTCCACAAATACAATTATGAATTGACTCATAGTTAAGCAATTCATCAAGTAGTGTCTTAAGCTTAGAGAAGTATACACTTACAAGATCTTGGTTTTGATCAAGGATTTATGCCTTTACCTCAAAAATCCTTAGCGCGTCTTGTTGTGAAAAACGTTGTTCAAGCTCTAACCAGAGTTGATGTACAGTCTCTGCATAAACCGTGTTGCATTTAATGTCCACAACCATGGTATTGTACATTCGTGTTATCATAATGTCATTCCATCGTAACCAACAGTCTATTAGAAGGTCATTGGAGTTAGACAGTTCACAGATGCTGCCATATGTGAACCTTAATTTGTTCTTAATTTGCAAGGCTCTCATCATGGATCTAGCCCAAGAGTAATAATTGCTTGAATCCAGGCTGTAAGACAATCATAGCCCATGTTCCATCATTGCTCCTGATGAAGAAGGGATTAGTGGGTTGAGTTGGGTCCTTAACAAGAGTTCCTGGTTGATTCTAGGTAGTTGGGTTTGGGTTTGGGTTTGGATTTGGAGGAGAGGACAGAAATTTGGTAGCTATTTGTGGATTCTTTCATTTCTAGCTCTAATACCACATATAAGATTTGAATGTGAGATATTGTAAACTAGTTAATACAGGAATCAATTTTGAAAGGAATCGCATAGATTAATTTGGAGGAATTGAAACTTCGTATGCATTCTCTTTGTATATATAGCCACTGAATATATAGAAAATAAGAGTATCTCGAATAAATTTTTTAAACATGACGTGCTCTCTATTTTAAAGAGTCAACCTTTAAAATTGTGCTTCAAGAGACTCTTTAAATTAACATTTCAATTTAGAGAGTGAGTTTGACTCTCCAAATTTGGAGTGTTAAATTCATTCTTTATAATTAAATGTATTCAAAGTATTTCAATTTTTAATGTAGGAAAATGATAAAATAATTTAAAGAAAAATTAGTTAAAATAAAAGATAAAAATAATAATAAATATTTTTTGAAAATAGTAAAATTAAATGTTAAATATAAAGAAGTTGTAGGAGTATTTCAAAATTTTAACTCTCTAAATTTATAGATGCTCTCCAAATAATAGAATATACTCTTTAAAAATCGAAAGTTTCTAAATAAAATCAACATCTAACAAATTCAAAACGTAAAAAGAATATATTATGCATAGTAATCAAGAGCCCTTGAATTCCTCGGCCTAATAACAACTTTCTGAACCAACAAAATATTCCTTCTTCCTTTTGTAAACCCTTCTTAATGATTTGTCGTGGGTTGCTTTTCAAATTGCTGCTTATATGATTGGTGACATATGTTCTTCTGCAATTCTATTTCTATTTTATTCACCTAAACTCCTCCTTTGATCTTCAACTTGTCCTTCATCCCTTTATATCGGTTATTGAACTTGAACTCGCCGCTCTAGTCATGTCAAGCTATAGTAATTCGATATAGGGTTGTGTGTCATTGCATGTTTGTAGGGATTTGATTGGTGGAGAGTTCAGATGCAATAAAATCATGATGACATCTAGACCTTAGACATGTACCCTATGTCATCACATTATTACCCGAATCAGTGGATTAGGGGGGAGTGTTCATCAAGAAGGAGCACTTGTTTTGTTATGTCCTGATGGTATTTTCATTAAAAGTTTACAGTAGTCTGACTTTGACTTTTGCCAGGTAAGACTATTTTTTATTAAGACAAGATAAGCCTACAACTTATTGACATGAACTCCTACTACAACAAACCTATTCAAAGTGTACTTGAGAATGGCTACAACAAAGCTGGAGTGTGTCTGGGAGAAATTTTTCCAAACCAAAATCAATTTTTGGGTCACATCAGGGGCGGTTCCACTTTCTGCCACCATTTGAAGTATTGGTGAGAATTCGAACACAAAAAGACAATTTCATCCTCATCACATGTGCAAGTGTTCATTTTGGACACCCGGCGCCCCCTATTGGTGGGGGTGCTTGTGGGACCGGCATCCCAACCAATGATTGAGCGCCGAGTGTCCATTATGGACACCCTGATGTACCGCAAGAATGATCCAAACTAGTATTGGAGTTGCTTCCAAATCAATTCCTAATGCCTCAACTTGTTTTACGATGTCCCATCGCGGCGTGGCATCAAGAACTCGCGCAAAAGACTATTTGATACCACGCTGTCTAATATATCTTCTCTGGCACGGCAGACGTTTTCTTTTCCTTTCCCTCTTTAGCATTTAAATAAAGAAAATCCCTCTCTCTAGAAGGGGATTTCGCTCTCGTCTCCTCTGTCCCTCTCTCGATTTCACCAGTTACATATATACTCGATACGCACTACAAATATGATGAGGTTTTTTAACAGAGGCGATTCGCCGCAGACGCCGTCGCCGCAAACTCCTGTTTCCGCGGCGACCAGTATGACCTCCGGACCAGCGAGGCCGATTCGCCTCGTGTACTGTGATGAAAAAGGGAGGTTTCAATTGGATCCTGAGGCCGTGGCGGTGCTTCAGCTCGTCAAGGAACCCGTTGGTGTAGTCTCCGTCTGCGGCCGTGCTCGCCAAGGCAAGAGCTTCGTACTAAATCAGGTATATAAATTAATATTGAAGAAATCTGGTGTCTTTTTTAGGTTTTTTGATAGTCAAGGGTTTTATGATGCTTTTTGTCACTTCGGTTATTATCTGAGGAATCAGTTTAATTGACTCTTGTAATTACATTCCATTGAAGTTGGGACACTTTGGAATTATGCTTTGGTTCTTCGTTCTTCGATGACAAGCCTTATAAATTACTTTGGCGGAACACTATTTTTAAGCTCAATCTAATAATCTAGAGTGGCACGCTCTTTTCATCTTACGTGGTTATATGGTGGGGCTATAAGTAAAATATCATTGAGTGTGTGTTTGGCACCCATTTTGGGTAAATTATAAATTTTGGAATAGTGATTGATGGAAGAACGTGTGGTTGAAAAGTTATGAAAATTTTTAGATTTGTGTGCAATATTATTTTATTTGTAGGATGCCTGGTTATAATTAAGAGAGAGAAAAATTTGGAAAAAAAAAAATGGGTGCCAAACACACTCTGAATTTGAAGTATTGACAGATGCACCAAAATAATCAAGGGGTAACTATAGAACAGAAAATGTAGGTTAATTGGTGTCACGCCTACCCGTGGTTGCTGAAATCCAAATGAGGCTCGAAATTGGCAAGTTTAGCCTTATGAATGGAATCAGGTTGTGCACTGTTGGTCTAGTATGAAGGTGTAAGGGGTTCTGGATACA